ATATACCAATAACAAGCCATCAGGGAAAGAATTCATGAAATAGTCTTATTCACAATAACCTCAATAAAATCTATGAAGAAGACTAACCAAAGACATTAAAGACCTCTACCACTCCTTGACATATACCCAAAAAACTCATCCTACAACAAAGATACTTGGACAGCAAGGTTTATTGCTGTTGTTTTTACAATAACTTAAGAAATGGAAGCAACCTAAATGTTCCTCAACTAAGAAATGGATAATGAAAATGTGGTTCATTTACACAGTGAAGTTCTTTCCAGTGGTAAAAAAAAGAAATTATGAAATTTGTAGACAAGTGAGTGGAACTAGAAACTATTATACTAAGTGAAGTAACAAAGTTACAGAAAAAGAAACAACATATTTTCTTTTCCATTTGTGGATCATATTCCCAAATCCTTAGATGTGAGTGTATATTTTGATGTAACTGCATGAGTCAGGAAAATGGAAAGAAATCATGGGGATTAAGGGGAAAAATGAGTTTGAGAGAGGGTGATAGTTGGAGACAGGTACTATCAAAGGGGAAATGTAGAAAGGGGGTGCACTGTAACTGGGGTGAGAGTGGGGAGTCTTATACAGGGGAGAGAGAAGATAGATAAGTAATGCTTAGGTGGTGTGAAAAACTGGAGGGAAAAGTTCGAAGTCCTGCTGAAAAATGTAAATACAATATACATATGAATGTATGTGTATAGCTTAAGGCTATAAAACAAAAAACACAGGGCTAGATATGAGAAAACTTCCTTCAAGTTGTTGGTCAGGGCAGTCCAAGAGACTCCTCAAATAACATAGGTTATTGTCACAGCCCTTGATTTTCTCCTAGAACTTGAAGGTAAGACCCTATTGTTGAAGACAGGATGTACTTCAGACACAGAACTTGGAGCAATTGAGGTGGAACTGAGATGGAGGCCTCCTCCATGGAGACTAGCTAACTCCCATAGTATTAGAGGATACTATGCAATCTGCCAGGAGAGAAAACCATTCAGTGGTTCTAGCTAATAAAGAAAGACAAGTCTAGAAAACGTTCTCTATTGGCGCATTAGTAATACTTACCTTGAGGTGTAATCAACAGGTGTCTAATTGAACATAAGGCCTGATCAATGGATGGGAACTCATGTGTCGTACTGTAAACATAGCCAACTATGCGTCTGGAGGGGTTACACATCCTAGAGAAAAATGTATGTTTGTTACGTCCCTAAACAAATGTAATTTCTTACTCTACTACTCTAAATATATCTCCTTCTATTTACAGACCACTGTACTCATCTAAAAAGTTTCTTTTTGTAGCAAATGAAGACTTACAGATTTCTATAATATGTCAAACACAGAGAATATTGTCTATGAGATGCCCAGCTCTAAGTGACACATCTACAATACAACCTCTTCTTCACCTAAGGTTCTGCTATGGAACATAGAAGAACAGGAGGGTTTGTGTGTGTGTGAAGAAAGAATATTAATGCATCTCTCAGCTCATACTAGTGAAGCTTCCTCATGCAACCAATGGTGATTAACACTGTAATCCACAACTGTTCAAAGTACGGAGATTAAGAGACCTCAGAGTTTTTGTTCTTGAACACATGTATTAAACCTCTGCCACCCAAGACTCAGGGGCTATTGCAGAAGAAAGCTCTGAAAGTCTGTAAGAGCTGGAGATGGTGTAGATCACAAGGAAACAGGATTTTACAAGCTGCTGGGATATTTGTCATATGAATTTGCAGCAATAGTGACAGCATATACAAGACCCATGGAAGCTCAAAGTAAACAACAACTCAGTATAGACATGGGGAAATTGGTAAGAAGCCTCAACTTAGCTGACGAATTATTGGCAATAGATGACTCCTGGAAGAGTGACACTTGATTTTCTTTAAAGCCGTGATGCTAAATAGGTGTACTAGTGGATCAACTCATACTGAGGGATTCTTGGGGACACAAATGTGGCTCAAAGACCTTAACATATACGACAGAATGCTTGAAATACAGTGGGGGTGTGTGGGTTATGGCAGTGAGACTAAATAAAGGGATCTAAATATGATCAGTACATGATACACAAATATGAAATTTGCAAAAATTCAATAAAAAGATTTATATTTTAACTAACAGGATAGTTGTACATGTTTACAAGTTATTATGTGACATTTCAATGCATGTGTACAATGTATTTCAAAAATTGGCATGTACATTACCCCAAAATTTATCATATTGAAAATATTTTAAAAACCTTATCTACTGGATAATTTTCAATATACAATTAATTGTCAATTGCAATTGTTTTCAACCACAATTACACTGCTCTGATTTAGAAGATAGGAAGTTGTACCTTCCACCCAACTGCACTGTTATTCTTTTCTTTCTCTACCATCCTGCTCCCACTCCTAATCCTTGCCAGGCTCTAGTAAACGCTGTGCTTCCTACTTCAATAAAGTCAACTTTATAGCTTCCACACATAAATAAGAATAATCAATATCTTTGTTTTAAAAATATTTTATTTATTATTTTTATTTGATGAGTGTGAATGAGCATATTGCTTGCATGTAGGTGGGCGCACCTGTGTCATGCAGTGCCCATGGAGGTCAGCAGAGGGTGTCAGATTCCCTGAAACTGGAGTTATGGATGGTTGTTAGTTGTGATGTAGGTGTTGGGAATCGAACCTGGGTCCTCTGCAAGAGCAGCCAGGGCTTTTAAGCACTAAGATATCACGCCACTACCTCTTCCTTACCTGATTCGTTTCACTAAAAATATTCTGTCCAGTTTTTTGCAGGTTGCTGCAAATTACAGAATTTCTTCTCTTTATGGGCAAATATTATTCCAACATACATATATACCATACTTTAAGTTGATTGTAGATCTTCACTAGTTTATTGTTAATACTGCAATAAACATACAAGGGCAGATGTATCTTTGGAAACCTGGTTTACTATATCCTGGGACATTTGCCCAGGACTGATTTTGCTGGATCATGTAGCAGTTATATTTCTACTTGTCTATGGCAATTTGTTAATATTTACTGCATTTATTGTATTAATTTGCATTCTCACCAGTAATATATGAAAACTTGCTTTTCTCTGCATACAAGCTAACATTTATTTTTTGTTGTTTTTTTTTTTACTAATAGTAATTTTAACTGAAGTAAGATAAGTTTTAGCTTTGTTTCCCATTTATCCGATCATTTATGATACTTATCGTTTTTAGGCATTTTATGGAATTTTGTGAATTTAATAAATTATATTTTTGATCATATTTAGTTCCCCCTTATTTGTTCCACTTTTCTAAATCTCTAGAAAATTTCTATACAATACACACACACACACTTTAGAAAAAAGCGCACTTTTTGTAGAATATGGAGTTTTTTCCACAGCACATTTTGTGATCTTTTTCTTTTAAATCATGTGGCTCTAGTTACATGAACTGATATCTGGTTCTCTACTCCATTGGTCTGTTTTTGTGCCACTTCTACATTGTTTTGATTTCTGTGACTCTGTAGTGTAACTCAAAGTCAAGTATGGTGACTCCTGTAGTGTTTTCCTTTTTGCTCAGATTGCTTTGCCTGTCTGGTGTCTTTCCTTTTCTACCTGCACGTAAATTTCATTACTGTTTTCTTCTATTATTGAAGAATGGCACTGGATTTTTGAGACTGTATTAAATCTGTACATTGTTTCTGGTAAGATGGCCTTTTTGACAGTATTAATTCTTCCAGTCTGTACATGGGAAATCTCTCCATCATCTAGTTTCTTTCTCAATCTCTTTCTTCAGTGTTTTAAAGTATTTATTTTAGAGATCTTTCACCTCTCTGGTCAGGTTTAGTCAAAGAAATGATTTTGAGTCTGTTGTGAATGGAATTGTTTCCTCTCTTTTCTTTTTAGTATATTTGTCATTGGTACTTATGGAGGCTAGTTTTTTTAGTACATTTGTTTTATAATGAACTGTGTGCTTGCACTTGTGTGTGTAATCTAAAACTGCTGCTCGCATA